ATATGAATCAATACCTCGGAGAATTGAGGCTGTAATTGCCTCAAAAGGTGGACCTACACCATATTAAAATATATTTTGTTGATTTTCCAAGGTGTTTCCATTATTTTGTCCAACCCCTGTATGTAGTCGAAGACGTTTTGGTCGTCGAAATTCTTTAAAGCAGTCAACGATTTTATATGTGGGACGCTTATAATAACCAATGACTTTACAGAACTCCTTAAAGTAGCCAACGATTTGACACGGGGGTGCTTAAAATAACCAATGACTTTACAGAACTCCTTAAAGTAGATAACGATTTGACACGAGGGACGCTTAAAATAACCAATGATTTTACATGGGAGTGATTTCGCTATCTCTAGTTAAGATGCTTTGTTTACTCAAATGGTGATTATGTTTCGATTCCTCATCCAGCCTATTAAGATCATCCTTGCTGAGATGAGCTACTATTCCTGCACCAAAAGAGTCTCCAAGAACGTTGATTGCTGTTCTGAAGCGATCTCTGTATATAAAAAAAAATGTAGTAAGTTCTTATGACAGATCAATAATTTGTTTTTAGTAAATAAGGTTTTTTAACTTGAGTTATGGCAACATTATTTCTCATAAACTATAGAGCAATCAATAAATGGCAAAATATTGATTTTATTTACTTCTTAATATATCAGAATGGTCAAAAGGATTAGAAATAGTGACCTTTGTACCATTTTGATAAATAAGAATAGTAAATAAAAAGTAGATCTTTTCTTTTCTTCTCCACAAAGATTTTAAGTCATTTACATGGAAGCCAAGTGTTTATTTAAAAAAGCAACATAAAATACCGGTTTTTTTAGAGTTTTGGGATTGTTGTGAACCCCCAATTATCTCCTTGGTATAGGCCACATTTGGGCTTCTTACCTTAGGGAAAGGACATTGAATTGTTGAAAAGGGTTGAGAGGAGGGCTACTGAGATGGTACCTCGGATGGAAAGTTGTCATGTTATGATTCTAGAAAAAATGGATTAGAAGAGATCTGAATGAGATAATTAAAATTGTTAAGAGAATTGACAGTATCGATGCATCATCGTTTTTCTAAGTTAATGGTGAAAATGATAGGACCAGAGTAGAAGTCATCTTCAGTTAAGTCAGTTTCATTGTTCTAACAGTGTTGTTGGCTTTTGGAATGGATTACCTTCAGATGTGTGGGACGCAGTAAATTTAAGTGTATTTATATTGAGTAAGAATTATTTTTTTATGAATGTTTGATTGATAAGGGCTGGCTTTGATTTTTGGATGGGACAACCTAGGATCAACAGCTCCCTTGTTTTTCTTAAATGTTATGCTATTTGATGACATAAATCAGTACTTGAAATTCATACTTTGTTCAAACGTAATGTTAGAATGTTATAGAAGTATAAGCAGAGTTACCTTAGTAAATCGCTATTTATAGTAGTGATATTTGAAGTCTAGAGACGTTTTTTTTTGTTTCGCTTTTATCTTAAGTATATACTTACAATAACCAATCAACGATAAGAATAAAAGTGGCGTCTTCCGCTGGTAGGCCAATGGCATTAAGAACTATTACCAAGGTAACTAGTCCAGCTTGTGGTATACCTGCAGCTCCAATACTCGCAGCTGTTGAAGTAATGCTTTTAAAAGAGATAAATCAATTAACAGAAGTTATATTATTCTAAACCAAATAACATAAAACAAAATAATTGAAACATTCCGATGAAATTACCGACAACAGAAACTAATATTACTCCCTGAAAAACGTATAATGTATATTTTAAGACAGCAGCTAAAGTCACTGAAAACCAGCAGGATAATCTAATATGAGCATTTTTGGACCATCGGTGCGTTACGGCCAATATTTTTAGTTTCGTCGAGTCTCTAAATTCTTCAATATGCGAATTCACTGATATATGCATATTTTTGTGCCACTGTATGATATTTTGCGCACGATATCCCATTTAGTGCATAACACAACATATTAAGTTTATTAACACGTCTATTTCTGTTACGACTGGTCGTGGCCTAGTATTTAGCATGCTTGGATTTTGAATGCGTTGATTCATGGGGTCGAAGTCCTCTGCCACAAAATGGAGCTGAACGTCCAAGCGTATCTGATACAACAGTTGATCGTGTGCAAAAGGCGTTTCTTAGAAACCCAAAAAATTCCGTTCGTTGTGCTTCCCTTGAACTTAACTTACCAAAAAGCACAGTGAACAAAATTTTACACAAACGAAATCGTTTGCACGCCAACAAATTGCAATTGCTGCAGGCCCTCGAACCAGATGATAGACAAAGGCACACTAATTTTGCAGTGGAAGTCCTCGATCGGATAGATCAGGATGATGAATACCTGGCAAAAGTTTTGTTTACAGACTAGACTATGGTCCATGTTTCCGATCATTTCAATCGACATAATACCCATACGAGCACAAACGTGACAGCCCAAAGATTAATGTGTGGTATGGCTTGATAGAATTATCGGGCCATTTTTCTTTGTTGAAAAAGCTGTGACTAGGACTAAATAACTCCAGCTGCTTGTTGTCCCTCAACTAGAAAGTTTGCCACGTGTTATTTTTCAACAATATCTCCAACACCTGGAGTCTTGACGCCCATTCCTGAATAACACATTCTCAGACAGATGGATTGGTAGAGATGGACCAAAACGACGGCCCCACATTCCTCTGACATAACCCCGTTGAATTTGTTCTTGGGGAAGGAGGGTCGTGAAAGATCAGGTATATTCGACACCTGTGCGTGATATCGTGAATCTTCGCTACAGAATAATCGATGCAATAATGAACGTGACTCCTGAGATGCTGAATAACACCTGGAAGGAGACAAAGTATCGCCTAGAGGAACAAATGGTGCACATGTGGAAGTATATTGCGACAAGAAAAACTTTATACGTTTTGAAGTTTATTAATTTTTAAAATGGGTC